TGTTATCAATATAAACTGAATCGATCGAGTTTATAATTATTATCATGTTCGTCAGCACAAACTTTCATTAAAAAAAATAAATAAATTCAAAGTACTGATTTATCGAGTTCATGGGTAACCTCTTTAACCTACTGGTTAATGGGTTTATTAATGCTTATCACGGATTTGATTCCGAATGTCGATCATATTGCCGAGATTTGTAGGCATATCTGTAGAATACGACAAATCCACCTGTGAAGTTCGGCTTACTTCTCCTTGTTCGAACTCAGATATATCAAACTGAGTGTATCCATCTTGTTCGTTTTCTATCATCATATTGTGCAGTATGATACATGCTCTCATAATCTTTCATATTTTTTCTTTATTCCAAATAAGAGCCGGGTTTTTTACTATTGCAAATCGAGCTTGCAAGACTCCAAAAGCACGCTTGACATTTTTTTGGACGGATTCTTGATATGTAGCAAATAATGATGCTTTCGGACCTTGAAGAATTGGAATATATTGGATAAAAGTTGGCATTTTGGATAAATACCGTATGTGAGGTAGTACGCCAAATGATACTTGTGTCTGTTGACCAAGTAATTCACTTTTGGAGCTCGACCTTGTAATATGTCATCAAAAACAGGTGAGCGATCAAGAACATTAATATCGTTTAAGGTACCTGGTGGTCCAAAAAACGCGTGTCATATCCAAAGATCTTGTGATGCTACATCCTCTAAGACGATTGTCGGTTTTCTTGAACTACATGTATATTGCCCTTTCCAAGCGGTAGGACAATTCTTCTACTTCCAATACATACAATCGATTCCTATCATCTCGGGAAACCCGCATATTTCTCCAATATCGAGTAGACGTTGAAGATCTTCTGGTGGGGGTCTTCGTAGGTACTCATCTCCGAATAAATGTATTATTTCTTCAGTGAAATTTTCCAAACATAAAATTGCAGTACTTTCACCGAGCCGAAGATATTCGTCAACCGCGTCAACCGCACAACCGTATGCCATCATACGAATTGCTGCCATATACTTTTGTAGTCCAAATAGACCAACCATATGTTGAGAACGAGCTTCTGTACAGTTTTGTACACTTTTTTAGTCCAGATAGCTGCAAAACCATATGTTGAGAACGAGCTTCTGAACCTTAATATCATAGGGTTCGAGAGCTTCTTCTCCGACGCCTGCATCACGTGAAACAGAAAATTAAATACAAAAATACATAATCTTGTGAATGAAACATAAGAAAGAAAGAGAATTGTGGGTTATCAAGACATACCGAAGTCTATCAAGACGAACAACACCAAGTGTATGACATTTCCTCTATGCATTTCCTGCAAACAGTTCCCAAAAACTTTGTGTCCTATCCATATTATAAAGGCACAAGAATGGCAATGTTTTGCTTAACTTTAATATTGATGGAAAACAGGGAGTACATAACTTCATAACATAGATATAACATTGACTTCAAATAAAAAACTAAAACATTAAAGTCTTACTACATAACTTCATACGAACCATTAATAGAAGATAGAGAGTAGATGCAACTCATTTCTTCTACTTATACATATAAGAAATGGTTGCAAAGACACAAAGAAAATACAGCATCAAATAGCTTTCACTTTGGTTAGCAATTTCCTCCTTTAACCTTGAAACTTCTCCTTGAAGAACTCTAACCTCTTCCTGTACTTCTCCAATGGTGGGATCATATGCTTGAACCCTAATCAGGTTCTCCCTTTGCTCTTCAACCTTTCTCTCCATGATGGAGAATTGCTCTGTTAACCTCATCCCACCATTTGAATATATGCTCTCCATTCCCCTACATACATTAGTGACATTTATCAACAATTTCATTTAAAAAAAAAACCTTGATTCATCAACAATAATGGTCTCGACTAACCTCTTTTAACCAGTCTGGACAGGTATAGTATTTGCGGCCAGGAGTCCTTGTCTCTACACCCGTCGACGATTCAAGCTTCATCTGCCGACCACATAAACATTTCTCAGGAATCCCGTAGTTGGCATCTGCATATGCCCACCCCAATTCCATTTCTGGTCCTTTAGATGATGTCTCGCTGTAGCTAATCGGCATTGTCTGTCCATAACAAAAACATTATCAAACTAAACTCTTTCAATCACTATAAACTCATATCTCATCACTACAATTCGACAAAAACTACAATCGGGATGATAATGAATGGATGACAAGAATCAAACAGAAAATAAATTTGAAAGAGGTGATGAAGAGAATCAAGGAAGAAGGAAGACATAAACAACTTCAATCGCAACAAAATTCTCAATTTCTAAATCGTTGGAGTTAATTTCAAATTCGCAAATGATATTGCAAAAATAATAAAATTCACTAACCAGAGATTGGTTGATCTTATCTTCTGGAATTGCAACTATTCTCTCCTAAATTTCTTCTCTTCGGGCGAATTTCTCTCTTATGGAATCGCAAATCCTCTCGTCAAAAACTCTAAGTACAATGCTCGACCAAAAAGAAAATTGGTCGAGAGAGTCTCCACAAAATGGTCGAGAAAGAGACATTGGATGGGACAGAGGGTCTCAAGAAAATAGTTAAAAAATTTCGTCTAACACAAACCCGCCACGTCACCTTAAGAGACGGGTTCTTAAAACTCATAACTAAAAAGCGGTTCTTAACTATATGGGTTTTTTTCTTTTATTTTTAATCCAATTTTGCATATGAATCTAGGCCAAAAACTCCACCTGAATCTCCAATGGAGATGGTCTAAAGCCATTGAACTTTCACTTATCTTTTTTTCCTTTGGTAAAAACATTCACTTATCACCAACAAAAGAATTATTATTACTAAGTTTATATGAAGATATATTATTCGAGTAGTAAAAAAGCCATTACAAGCTAAAGGTAGTATAATTTAATGCTACCTTCGCTGAGATTCGTTCTCAAAATCAAAAGTTGAGCATGTCTATTTAGATTTAAGGAAGCAAATCTTCGTTTGTGGTCACTTGCTTATTTTCGGGAGACAATTATAATATTACTAAAACAACATAGCATACTCTTTAAATGCTTTGTTAGAAAAAAAAATTACATGAGCTGCTCGTAGAAGAAAAGAGATTAACCAAAATGCATATACTGTAGTCAGATTCAAATAATACGACGAGGCCGGTCGAGAGAGACAAGTGGATAAAGATAGTGCAAGCCCATGAATGATTATGGCTTCATTTTTATGTTTGTACCTACATGATAATGACATGTCAATGACTCATTCAGGCCGAAAACAAAAAGAAAAAGAAAAAGAATTTTTATTTCTTAAAAGAACAGAGAAAACGAGGAGTTGTGAATGCATTGTAGGGACTAATTTTAGAATTTATATTAGATTTATAAAAATGAGGTTACAATTGAAAAAAAAAATGACATTTTTTACGTCAATGCATGAAAGCCAATCCACCTAACAACTCGTAAGCCAAACAATACAGTTTTATCTTATTTACACTCACAAAATAAAACTAAAATTTCCAAGGTTATGGTTTCTCGCAAGATCAATGGAAGATTGATTGATTGGTACCATTTTGGTGTGGGTTGTGGGGATATTGATGTTAAGTTATGGTTTCTGTGGTCCTCTGAATTAATCACTTTGCACGTTTATTTCTTTCTTTATCCGAGAACTTGTGGTTCCTCGATCTTCTTAACTACTAAGAATTATTGTGATGAGATTCTCATCTAACTTCCTTCCCATCTCTTCACCTACCAAGTACCCATTACTTTGTTTTTCAGTGAAATTCTATATATCAGTGAATATTTGTTGTAGATCCATTACGTTTTCGTGATGATTAATAGGACTTTCAAAGTAAGTGGCCCCAAAAAAAAATATTTATTAGAGCATGTGAAATAGCCTCAGTTTTTAGTCATTACGGATCGACACCCTAATACTCTGATATTAATTTTTTCAAAAATAATATCCTTTTCAAGTGAAAATTCCCGGAAATATGAAGTGGAAAACATCTAGTTATGTAACGCAATATAAGAAGGGCATACACATATATTTGTAACGATAGTGCGTCAGTGTGTAATGGATATTATCGTCGATCGTTATGGCCAAAGAAGTTAACGAACACTGGACAAAAGCTTCCCACTCAACAACTGTCACTTAAATTTTCGATTTAAGTGATATTGAATAGTGAATCTTGGGGTTTGTTCTCAAATGACATAAGCCCGATTGTTGCAACTGCATTTGTGATGACGTGACCCCAAGAAATAAAATAAGAAGATTACTGATGACAATTAAAAATATTTTAATTTAAAGATATCATGATAAAATTTGAAGAGACAAACAAAACATGTAAGGCCTTGAAGCAAACAACTACTTCCAACTCCAAAACTGCTTTTGGCGTTATACAATGTCATCGTTTTTTTTTTCCCAACGCATTGTAGTGTATATCAGATAATTAACCACCAAAAATCTAATTAATTTCACATAAAACTCATTTTATTATATGTATTTTTATTATATAGAAATATATGTATTTCCATTTTACTATTTGATTTAATGAGAAGCTGTTAAAAAAAAATTCATTTTTTCTGTGTTTTTGCGGTTTACTATCTATACCGTACGAATCACAATTAAAAATATAATTTCGCCATTCTGAAATTATAAATAAAAACATCTGCCATATAATGTTTACAGCAAATTCACTAATTAAAGTTTAAGACTGAAGATTAAGTATAAATATAGTAATAACACACAAAAACAAATAATTAATTATATATATATATATATATATTCTTATAAATGGGAATATGCCATTAAAAACGGACCTTGTGAGTTTGAAATACATGCATGTTTGTTTGTGTATAAATTCAAAGACATGCTTGTGGTTGTGGCTATATCACGAGTCCCTTCCTTAATAAACGTTGATGTAGGTCCAAAGGTATTCAATAACCAACAAAACGACCACACACCAAGAAACTCTTCACTCTCTAATTCCCATTTCTCACCATACAATTTTTTCCTCTTCCTTTCTTTTATCTCTTTCTAGATTTTCTTTTACATCAAATTATCTATCCATCTATCTACCTTTCATGCTCTTTCACCACTCCTTTCAAAAAAACTATCATTAATCAATTCATCTCTCTCTCTCTCTCTCTCAACACTCAAGAAGCGAGACACAGAGGAGAGTCTTCTTCTCTGTTTTGTCTCTCTGGCTATATATTCACACAATTTGTGAACGGACACAAAACAACACAAACACAATTTGTGTTCTTTTTGATCTTCTTCCTCTTTTGAAGCTTTGTTTCAGGCGTCAATGGCGGGGACTGGAATTTTCACAGAGATTCTAGACGGAGATGTCTACAAATACTACTCTGATGGAGAGTGGAAAAATTCTTCCTCCGGTAAGAGTGTCGCCATCGTGAATCCATCCACGAGGAAGACACAGTACAAGGTCCAAGGTGTCTCTCATCAATGTCTTCTTAATTAAGTTTCATTCTTTCTAGATTTCAGATGTGGTTTTGTTGTTTTGTTGGAAACCTCACACCGATTCACCATAAAAATCAGACCTTGATTTTCTACATGGCAAAATTTATTAATGATTTTGGACAAATTTGGATATATATTCTGGAAATTTAACGAACATTGGTTGATTACATGATACAACTTTTTTACAAAATGGGAAATTGAGATTTAGCTTTAGATAATAACCCAAGAAACTTCAGAGAGAAACAGAGGAGAAAAAAACAGAGGATATTAAGATAAGGTG